AATATATATTATCTAAATAATATGTGTGCATGTGCATATACATGTGCACACACATTAATGGAAAAAATCATATATGAGGCCAAATTTTTGTCTTTCACTGTTGTAGTCTCATTGATTTATGCCCAAATATATGCATAAAATGCAAAATTTCAGTAATTTTCTTTGGATTCTATCATTAAAATTTTGCTTCAAAAGATATATATGAGGGTCTGGGATTTAGCTCAGTGGTGCCGCTGCCTGCCTCGCAAGCACAAGGTCCTGAGTTCGATTCCCAGTACAAAAAAATACATATGAATTAACTACAATATATCTAATCAAACTGAATGAATAAATAGCAACACAGGACAGCATTGACTGTGCAAAAATTGAACTGATAAAAATCACTGTGTAATGGCAAACAGAAATCTTATATAGAGCATATTCTGCCATTACAAATGGAAAAATTTTCAGTAATGATGGTTTGCAAAAACAAGAGAATCCAACTGACAGTGGTACTTGATCTTGTCTACTCTGCTAATAAAAAAAGAAAACTCATTCTGAATTTAAAAGAATTGGAAGAATACACAACTAGAGAATTTGTGAATAATAAGAAAAAATGTAATATGATAATAAAGGATTCCCTTATGTTTAACAATATGAACATGAGTGATTTACCTTCAAACTCCTTTTTGCCATTTTCAAAACCATATTATGTAATACCATATTATGAAAACATTATTTAAAGAATGAATATTAAGAGGGACAGTAACATTGTGCATGAAGCAATATTTCTGTTTTAAGATTTTATAACATAAAATTTTCCAAATTTAATCAAGAATCAGTTTAATGACTAATGATATTATTCTCATAAGGCAGCCCAGAGAGCAGACATTTTTAACCATCTAAACCCTATTAGATGAGTCCAGTATCTTATATTGATTTAGAATTATGTGTGTTTTTTAAAAATCATGTGTTTCCATTTTATCTTTCTTTTTTCATTTTTTTCTTTTCCCTTCCTTCCTTTCCCTCTCCCCCCACTTATGAACCCCTTCCCATTTGAACATTTTCTTCTTATTTCAAAAGCTCTTGTAAATAAGAAGAGGGAGAGGGGTTGAAGGGAAGGGAAGGGATTGGGAAAAAAAGAAAAACCAAGAAATATCATGTATGGTACAAATTCCATAAAATGAATGTGATTATTATGTATATCTAAATTGTACCAATAAACTTAATTAAAGATAAAAAATATCGTGCGGAACTGAAATGTTTAATCTGTCCTGAAATAATAATAATTATATGGACAATTTCTTTTTTTGCAATAAGCAAATCAATATTTCAGACCCGTAATCAGTATGCATGCATCTAGCTGCTTAACTGCAATGTGCTTTGGTTCATTAGATGGCTACTGTTGTGTCTTAGCCTAGCTAAAATTTCACAGCAAATTAATTTCTTTTATTACAGAAGAGAACACAAATGATAATGTCCTCACCATTTGCCAAATACAGGGTTAACAATATTTGCAACAAATCAGCAAGGCATTTTAAAAGAAAAATTGCAAATATAAAGCCTCAGTCACTTTTACCCATTGTTGACTTCATTTTATGTGCCATTTATGACTTTACTACCCTATTACTTTGTGTGTATTTCATTCATGGCATCCCCAAACAGCTGCAACTTCTCTAAAACAATGCAGAATTCTTCTCCAGATTCAAAGTAGCAAAAGAGGGAGATTTCCAAAACTGATACATTCTTATACAACCAAATCCCTTTGTACTCCTTCAGTTTGTAAAATTATCATCAATAAACTCAGATTCTAACATGTACTTACAGTTCAAGGATGATGCCTAAAAACAATCACTATATGAATGGTATCAATTGATACATACATAGGCCTCCTCTACCAATTTCCTTTTATGTTGGGATATATCACAAATGGCAAAAGGGAATAGGCACCATACTAAACCATTTGCAAATACATTGCTTCTTCATAAAACGCAAGAGCAATGCTTAGAAAAATTTAGACTTTTATAACATTTAATACAATTTGGTTTAAGATTCAGTTTATTGGCACTGAAGCATCAACTCTGACCCTTTTCAAGGAGATCATTTATTTTACCTCAATGTATTCCTTTATTTCTTTAGAAATATGATAGAATACACAGAATTTATGAAGGACTAATATATTTGTATTAAACATCTCTATAGACATTTCTCAGAGAAAGAAGTAAAAGTAGCAAATAAATATATAAAAAAATGTTCAACATCACTGGTCATTCGAGAGATGCAGATGAAAACAACGCTGAGATTCCACCTCACCCCAGAAAGAATGGCTGCTATCAAGAAATC